CTATGGCTTGGAGAGTTGTCTCTAACCCTGGGTAGACTTCTCTGATCTGGCGCGCTAATCCCATGTTCATTTGAAAGTCACTCGAGACACAAGCAGCCATGGTATTTAAGAAAATTAGAACAGTTCCTGGTCCATAGAAAATGTTTGAAACTTCGAAATCGCGTTGATGGTCAGGTTATTTAGGCCAGCGCATGCGCTCGCGCTATTAATTCTTATTGTCTGTTTTGCTCGTCGTACTATTGATCGAATGATGTCCTTCTTTTCATCGCTTGATAGATTTTTGTTGTTGACCTCTTTTACTGTTTTCCGTGTTTTCGCTTGTTCTTCCGGTGTTGGCTTTGTACTCAATGTGATGGGTACCGTTTCTTGTCTGTTTAAAGTCCGAGGCTAAATTTTTAAGGCTTGTGTTCTCGCTGTGGAATTGATTGAACGCGGACGTCGTCGCTTAATCTAACTTGTCCGTAAATTCAATCTCTGGCTTCATCTGCTGTTTTTTTCTTTTTGTTCACGGTGGTTCCATAACCATTTCAACGCCTTTTGATTGATCCTGCGGTTGAGTTGGACGAGGTAAGATTTAATGAACACACTGGGTAAAGTTCGTTCCAACTTTCCGAATAACGTAGTTCAATTTGTTAAACGTTTTTCAATTCTGTAGAATAGTATCCAAACTTGCATCGATGTGCTTCCAAAATCGCATTGAATAGTCAACAGCAGATTCAGTAAAAGGCAGACTGAATGAAGTTTTTGTGGCTGTGAGAAAGCTTTCTGGTCATATTAGCTTCGGTATCTTCGGTATAATTAAAGTAGCATTGTTCTTCTTAAATTTTTTCCAGCAGCGCATCTTGCATTGACGTAACAAACTCTGATTCTGCTGTTACTGCTTCTATTGTTTTCGTCAAAAAGCGAAGATCAAGAGGTGTTGTTGGCTCTTTTCCGTGGAAATCTGAGCTTGGACAACTTTCAAATGATGACTAGTTTGATAAGTTATGATTAAAATTTGCCAGTGGGAAATCATTGAGCCAATCTGACAATTTTTGGTCACTGTTCAACCTCAGTATGCTTTTAGGAGATCCATAAGGTCGTTCAACAATTCCAATTGAATGTTTAAGCGTCGCGTGTTTAATTTTAATCAGTTATGCCGTGAAGCTTTTTCCAAGATCTGCTATTTATTTTGGTATGTAACCATTTGGGAATTTTTTTTGAGCTCTCGCGCAACAGTATCTGCGCTAGCAATCGTCACTGGTGCTACAAATAGGTTTTTGGAGAATACTTTGATTCCAGTGAGAACGAATTTGTACACTGGTGACTTCATAGGTCCAACGATAACGACTTGTATCATGCCTTTTGGGAAACATCGCAATGACGAAATTGGTTTGAGCATCAAAAAGCGTCAATCTTCGCGTCAATCTTCGCATTCTTGAACATTTAACTCGCGGAAACAGGACTCATAAAGTTCATGCTTCTGCTATTGTGCTTTCAAGGTGTCGTCAATTGTGGTGTCGTCCTATTTGGAGAAGGCATTTTCCAGTGAGTCAGCCAGGTTGAGCGATGCATCAGGTACTTTCGCTGTCGTGTCAATCTGTATCTCTTTTACTAGAATTTTGTCTAAATTAATTGAAGCTGATGGATCGGTTTGCATTCTAGACAAGAAATTTGCTGCATAACTTGTCTTTCCGTGAATATGCGCGATAATTTTTTAAAGGCCATGCCTGGATCCAAAAAACTACAGAGTGAAGGCATAGTTTTTTTGGCTAAGAAAAATTGCGCTAAGCTCCAATTGTCACCGGGAATTATCACTGGCTTTGAAGATCCCAGATCAAATGAGAGAATAAATCAAGAGCGAAGTAGAGCAGCAAAAACAAAAACTCTTTATAGTAGATGGTGACCTTCATTTGAGTTGTGTTGAAGAGTCTCGAACCAAATGAAACTGGTGCATACGTTTTCATTTCACTTTTTTTCAGTTTTCATTAGTCTTCAACCATTAGCACAAAACCGTTTCCATGGTAGCTTCCGTTACTAAGCATAACCTATTGTAACCCTGGTTTATGCAAAAAAGTGTTACCTTCGTTGCTTGGAATAGGTAAGGCTTTAACACTTCAAGACTTTTATGGTGCGCATATTTCATCTTGAATTTGACCTCTTTTCTTTGTAATTTTTTGAAATGATAGGAGTTCATTGCCTAAGCTTGGTATATAGTTCCTAAAAAATTGTATGAAACCAATCAGTTTTTTCATTTGCTTAAGAGTTTGCGGCATTTTTTCACTTTTCTTAGAAACGAGAAAAAGTTTATATTTCAAGCGCTACGCCTGCTGGTGTAACAAACTTGCCCCAAAATTACATTATTTGAGATCCAATTTCACATTTACTTTTGACAATTTAAGTCCAAACTTTCTAATGCTTTGAAAATTTTTCAAAAAAAATTGATAATAATTCATCAAATTTTCTCAGAGCACTTCCTACGTCATCCATGAACTGAGTGCACAAATCAGCTGATAGACATGTATCAAGGTAGTGGCGTAAAAACAACTAGATCCCGTGACAGATTTTCTTAAACCTTGAGCGATGTATTTGTAAGCGTAAATTCGAGATCAGGAAAAATTGCCAAAAAAAGGACAGAAAGGTCATCTGTCATTTGTACCCAGTGATAAAATTGAGAGCAATCAAACTTGGTAAACAACCTTTTTCCGAAATTTGATTCGATGAATTGGTCATAATTGAAAATGAAAAGTTGCTGTTTATATGATCAGTTTTGATTGAGTGATATGTTCGCCTAAGGTTAATCAACATTCGCAAATTTCCCGATGGTTTTCTATGTGCAAACAGTGGACTACTGTATTTTGAATGCGATAATTCTTGTTATCAGTCCATAGTATTAGTCATTTCGTGTCTCAAAAAATTCGGCTTTGGTGATCCTTGTGTGTAAAGGGGACGAAGTTAATCGTGTGACAGCTTTTTCTGAAATTACGATAAGTAACCCACGTCAAATCTGTGTATGGCGAAAAATGTCATCCGCAAAGGGGGAAGTTGCGTAATCCTTTGATCGGCCGATTTAGTCTGACCACCAACATAACCCTTTCGGGATTGTGGATCATATCGTGTCTTAGTGTCCCCCGCTATTACACGGTATAAAGGGGAGAATCTCTGCGGCAGTTGAGTAGAGTGAAAGCGTGCTTAGAGGAGACGACTCGCCGGAAAAGAATCTACACTTACAATTTCCCCTCCCTAAAGTCCAAAGTTATTTTTTATTTCATGCTTCTTTTAATTTCACTAGAGTGTTAATGATTCAGGCGTAACTTGCATTAGATGTTATTTAAAATGAATAACTAACAAAACAAAATGTAAGTAGTATACGGAAAAGTTTTTATATTTTTTAAAATTGTAATCAAGAATAATTATCTAATTTTTAAAGGTGAGAAAATTCTTGAATTTTGTCAGTCGAATCACGACTGAAATGGCTTGATTATGAATTTTCATTCAACTCATTTCGATGATTTTTATGGTAGTTGCTTGTGGGCATAAAAAAGCGTAAGCACACTCGAAAACAAAGTTTCTAATTTTTTTATATGGTCGGAACGATGACATTATTCAAGCATGATGGATAATTATCATATGAATGATTTTTGAATAATTATCATACTTTTGTTTTCAAATATGATGATCTGATTTATGGGAATTGAGGGGGAGGGGAACGGTCGCCCCTACCCCCCCCCCCTCGGCACGCTATTTTGGTCAGGCTAGGTGATAATCTGGTCTGCTAGTTATTTATATGTAGGCAATCGAGAAATGAAATTTTTAAAATCCTGATAGCGTTTTTATCTGTCAGTTCGACGTACAATACATCATTTTAACTTTGTCTGATAGCCTTTTGTAAAAATTTTCAGAAAATACAACATATTTAAATGCTCAGATTATGAACATTGTTAAGCAGCATTAAAAGGGACATTTAACCAACAAATTTTCTGAAAGACTTTCAAGACTTTTGTTTAAAAAATAATTGTTCCGACTTAAGAAGAAAACGGAATATTTATGCTCGGTGTGGTTGTTTTTATTCAGTCAATTTTCACCTATCGAAATAATAATTTTCAACAAAAAACTTTTCTACCCCATTGAAAATAACGACTTTCTGAGTTGAAATGAAAAAAGATATTCGCCTCCGATCATTTTTTGTAAAGTTATGGGATTTGAATATTGCCAAACTTTCCATGTTCTGGACTAAATTATGGGCGCTTTGAAGAGTTTATTCATAATGCTGAGAGCCTAACGCGAATTGTTTACGCGTGGCAAACTATCCCGCGTAACAAAATTGTTCTAAATTGAATTGAGGCTAGCTAATTGGTCTTATTAATTTCGTACCGCTTAAAATTTTACACTTTGATATTGTCCAAAATGTAGAGGTTTTTAATTAATTAATTAATTGTAGTTCCTGCGAATCGCAGAGGAGCTATCAGTAGGCTTTAACAGTCCTGTCGAGGATAGTCCGTTTATATTATTTCCCCACATTCCAGACTGTGTTATTTTGTTGAGCGAAGCTCTTATTTGCGACTCAAGGCCGTTTTTGTGCGTCTAGAACTTTCATGTGGTACCACTATTGCAGTCAAATTTGGTCAGGTTGTGGTAGACCTGAAGCTAGAGGTCAAGTGAGAGCTCGTCCTCACACACTATCATTGCCATGGCATGGGATCGATTACACGATCTGACGATTCTAAAGTGAACGCCTTACCACTATGCTAAGTGCTAGGTTTTCAATATTTTTTTTCCAAAAACTATTCGATGTTAATTTTAGTAGTGAAATGGCTAGGTGTTAAAATGTACGGTGTTAAATTGTATGGTATTAAATTGTAGGACACCGAATTAAGGGACAGTCGGAACATTCATGGCTTTGCCCTGATAAATGAGCAGTTTTGTATTTCTTCTCAATCCAATTTAGAACGCCAAAAGAGTCGTACCGATACAAAAATCTCACTTATGCTCATTTGAAAACAAAAATTTTTACCATCTGATTTGGAATTCGCTATATAAAAACGACAACAATTAAGATCTCGAAACCAAGTATTACTTTAAAACGTTAATGTCTACGAGAAATAACACAAAATAAACTGAATTGAGTTTTATTTTCATTCTACAAATTTCACTTTACTCTGTTTTAGTCTTTTTCATAAAAGTTTTACTTCAAAAAACGTCTTGGGCAAAATTCTTTTCTGCCTAAAACTCTCCTGAATCTTAAATTCGCGGCTGCCTGGTCTCTGACACTGAAAATGTTTTCTGAGGATTTTCTTCCTCCATTTTCAAATGACTTTATCTGTAACCGGGACGCGGTAAACTTCCCCCAGATCCCGCGGACGAATTAGAATGATGTCGGTTCTCCACTGATTTATAGGTACTGTTGGCAACGGGGGGCCTTTGGTGGTTCCTGTCATAGATTTCTTTTCTCCCTTTTATGTGCTCATCGTAACACTTGTGAAGAATATTTGTCGACTCAACGTCAATCGCACAGTACTGCACTGTTGGCTGCACTCGTGTCCCGTTCGGTTTTACGGTTCCCGAGGGACTTCGATTCGAGCACCCTGGATTTTTCTTTTCTAGGGACCGGTTAATTGCTTGCTGCCTAGCAACTTGCGCTGCGGCATCTGAAGCGGGCGAAAAGTCTATATAGTTCAAGTGGACTTTGCCTTGCTGTGGTTGCGCGACCACAAACTCATCGCTTCGACCCGATCGGTTTGAGTTGGTTTCGGTACGCCGTTTGGCACCTGTGTAGCTAATGCTGTGATATATAGAATCGTTGGGATTTGGAGGCTTCTGCTGTCTAAACTGTCCTCCGTGCACCGCAACTACATTCTCATAAGGCGCCTTTCGGAACCCAAAGTCGGCTTTCGTCGGGGAAAATGAGTCACGGGTTCCGAGAGCAGAGATACTATCGCACGAACTTGGAAGATTAGCCTCTCGCTTGACTTGGAATATGTTATCAATGCATTCTACGTTTACATACTCATGTTTCACGCTGTTTCTTCGAGGCTGTTTTGCGTTGTCGTACGGTCCGTAGTTTATACTTGAGTAGCAACCTATCGAATCAGTGGTGAGATTACGGTGTCCCAGATTTCGAGGAACTCCGTAGTCTTTGCCATTGCGAGGCCGGTCAGTAGTTTTGCTTGAAGACTTTTTCCTCAACCTGTGCGCAAACGATTCTTTCTGTCCGTATCCTTGAGCATGTGAGTTAATTTCGTCTTCATAAGACAAAGTGGAGCCGTTACGTATATGAACTTTTGCTTCAATTTCACGAGCCATACCAACACAATTATTTCCTCCTGCGTAGTCGACGTCGTCGACAAAGACCTCGTCGCGTGATCCGTCCAATGAAAGTTGATCAGGGTCTGGCGAAACATCCCGTGAGCCATAGCTGGCACCTTTGTATGGTAAAGAAGAGTCGGTTGACGGAAGAACATTATCACTGTTAGACGTTGTTTTCTTTCTTCTTTGGTAACTACCACTATTGTTAACAGTAGTGCTCGGGGTAAAACTGGGCGCCGGAAGTAAGTCTACATTAGCCCGGGATAACTTGGCGTCGGCTGTGGTCGAATTTGAAATCAGTTTTTGGTAGTTTCCGTTTTGTACCACCTTAGTCTGGGTCGAGGTGGGGGAGGGGGAGGCACCCGTGGAGCTGTGTTGTGGGGTTCGCTGGCGGTTGTGTGCGTTTCTTCTCGAACCACTGTTGGCGTTGAACTCGTTATGGAGACTGTCGGCTTCACTGCTGTTCATTGAGGGTCTGATTTCTTCTAAAATGCAGACATTTTGAAACAAAAGTATCCAATTTTCCAGTTGAAACATGCACCATCTTTTTTTGCTTTTTAAATAAACAATTGGTGAGCTCGAGCACCAACAACGGTCAGTAACAAAACTATATTAGAATTTAAAGAATATCAGAAAGGTTTTTGACTGATTTAAATTTGAGATTGTTACCTGATATTAAACTCTGTCTGATTTTGTCTATTTGCGAGTAGTGATGGTCTGAATTGTTGTTGTTGTTTTCAACTGAGCCATGCTGTGCCCGACTGCTGTGCAGGGTATTAGGTTGGGAGTGTGTCTCGAACTGATTGCTGTTATTACTGCTACTTGCGTTACTAGTCTTCGATCGTCTCGGAATCGACGATGGCTGACCCGATGACCGAAGGTGATTCATCGGGTGATTCGGATTCACTTCGTTCGGCGACGAGCAGTCGGAGAGTCGGGGCTCGCTTGCGGACGATGAAAATTGGGTGTGCTGAGGGGTCGTTTCGGGGTGATGAGTATTTGCCCAATGAATATTAACATAAACAGGTCCATTTCTGAAAGCTTCTCCGTGAAGTGAAATCATTTCATCCAGTTCCCCTGCTATGTTCGGTTCTTGAGGTCGGTAGTAATTTGGGTTTGACGTCTTTTTGCTGACATGAAGCGGAGTGCTATGTTTGCTAGTAGAGGGAGTAGTACTTGAGTCTGCAGTTATAGTTCCCGAGTTGTTTCTGCTAGTCTTCGAGTGAAGGGGCATGTTGGATCCCGATGCAACCGAGTTTCGTTCTCGGATGGACTTGCGAAGTTCTGTTAGGAGGTGAAGATTGAACACTTGACCGTCGGCTGGATCTCTGGAACGAACCAATTTTTGTCTACAATATATTGGTGCTCATATTAATGTTCCAGGTGTTTTAATGTTCCAAAAACCGCCCAGTGCAAAAATAGAGCGAAACTAAGCTGACTGAAAGCTTTAGTCTTAACTGTGATTATTATAACTCGGGCTTTAATCAAAAGTTTTTTTAAAGAAGTGCCAATTTAAATCCAGTCGGGATTTTTTCAAGTTCAATCAAGTTTCCCTATATGAAAACTCAAGTATTCTTTTCGGAACTTCATAAAACTGAAACCTTTCTCAACTTTTCAAGTTATGAAAGGACATAAAAATTTTAAAATGTGATACTTAAATAAGGTGCAGTATATTTGAACGTACTGCTGACTGAATGCCTGGTCGATATCACATCCACACAACTCCAGAGCTTCTTCAAACTGGCTCTCATATGTGTCCAGATACTGCACGTGCTGGTCACTTCCCCACCTCTTGTAAGCCGAGAAGTGCGCGCCGCGACTAGCTAGAGTACCCTCGGCACGCATCGACAACGCATCTATTGAGTCCAGTCGGCTGCCGTCTCCTCCTGTGCCTACCTGAACTGGCATCCTCTTGGCGTTGACTCGCTTTATGCACTTGCGCTGCTTGCATGATTCTCGTGCCAGGTTGGGACAACTGCGGTTAAGGTACGTTCCACAATCACACTTTTCTGGAACAACCATTTCAGTTTACTTTTGAGTTTCTACGAAGCAAATAGATATATCACTTTTGAGCAAAAACTTTCTATCTTACTAATCGAATGAAAAACCGAAGGCTTCTTTTATATTCTAACTAAGCCATTAAGCTAGTATCCCGACATTGAAAAAATATACATCCAAATTTCCGCAGAAATGTTTCGGTTACCAGGATATAAAAACTCAGTTGTGCTTCAAAAGTCGAAAAAATCAATTCAAAATGCTTGACGCAGAACTTACGCCACGAAGCGGCCAGTCGCGTGCGAATACACTCTGTAATTTGACTTTTAGTAGGCGACACTGAAATCCTAGGAGTGTGTCGTACTGGTACCTCCGGTGCCGGAGATCCCGACTTGTTCAGGCCGCGACTGCCTCCGTGCTGTCGCTTTGAAATGGGCGGAGGAGGATTGGGGAATTGGAGATCTGCGTAGTCTCCTCCCCCGTTTCCAGCGCCCATTGAGGGTCGCCTAGGGGGTGTCATTGTGGCGGAGTGTTTGTATGTGTCTTGTTGAATGTCGTTTTGGAGGCGGTGCTGATGTTGTCGTTGCTGTAGGGTGTAACTGGCGGCTGGTTGCAATAGGGACGAGTGATGGTCCAGCATACTTTCTGGGGATTGAATTTGCTGATTTATATACGAAGAAGATGGAGAATCTAAAATAAAGAACACAAATAGTCACATTAAAATTACGAACAAATAGTAAAAAAAAAATCTAAATCTATTCGAGCTATACCTTAAGATTACTGAGCCTCTGAGCAAAAAATAACATCAAAATATGAATGTAAATTTAATGAGATAAATCACGAATAGAGTAAGCGCGATATAATTGAGACGAGATTTTTTGTTACTCTACTCACGCGAATAGGAGAGTGATCCGTTCCGGTGATCACGTGAAGACATCTCCCTTCCCCCTTCCTCTTCATCGTCGTCATCTCTCCTCATTGGGGGAGAATGATCATCGGAGCATGATGGCTTGGGCGCATACATCTCCTTATGGGCTTTTCTGCCCACCCCTCCGCCACTGGACGGGGGGATGTTCTGACCACAATTGGACGAGGTCGTGATGTTGGGTGACCAACCCGCAGGTGTGGCCATTATGTCCCCCTGATAGCCACCTCGGGGTGGGGTCGACTGCTTGAAGTTGAAGGGCGGCTGGAAGGCTAAAGATGAAACCATTCGGATAATCCAGGTTCAAACGCTTAATATACATTTAATTAAAAAAATCATCAGATAAATTCGAGGAGCTTGAAAAATAAAAAGCATTTAATGAATTATATCGCGATCACAACAGTCGAAAATTAACAAAAAAAAACTTGGTGAAAATCAGCTGTTCAAAATAGTCATATACCTTTGCCGTATGTTTCCTCTGTAATCTGCGGTATAAACCGTTTTTGGGTAAAAGTGAAAATCTTCATGATTGCATAAGAAGATCTCAGATGAAAGCTTTCATAATTGCAAAAAAAGACCATAACTATGGAATCTGACCATCAACTTACGTTTAGGACCATTCATAGTCCCACCCACTCCTATTGAAGGGGTGGGTCTGTGCTGGGCCACGAGCGAAGGTGCCGTGGATATAGAGCCAGAGTAGAAGTTAGGGTTCGAGGGCCGTCCTAGTCCCCCCAGGCCTCCCATCGGGAACATGTTGGACACTGCGGGGTGTTGTTCTGGCTGCACTGTAAAACTGCTGCTATCTCCGCCGTTAGAGTTGAACTGCATGTGCGCTAAAACGAACGATCGAGTTGTCTCTAGATAAGAAATAGATGTGATTTTTTGGTATTTTTTTGGCCTCAGAAATGTTTCGCTAATGCAAGTAAAGAGCACCGTCTTCGGTGATCCCCGTATCGTACCATCGGATTTTAGATACACAGGCAAAGATAATGCCAATACTTTCTTTAGTTTTAATCACTTGTTTGACAATTATTCTAAAGTTTTTTTCTTATCTTAATTTAATAGTTTAAGAACTAAATATCTAATTTAGTGCAAAGAGCCTTGAAATTTACTTGCATAACTTTTCCACCGTTCTGCATCAATTGCACTGTAACATAATTGTTTGTTTGATTGAACCATATGGGATGTCTTAATTTAGAATCAGAACGAGATAAATTTATCAATATCTTTCAATTCAAGCAAACAATGGTAGCCGGTTGCTGCACAAGAAGCACAGAATGTTCCGATCACAGCGATTGACGTAGAGAACTTTAAAGTCTAAAAAGCTTTTTTTTGCCAAATTAACCTGTTGCCGATATTTTTGATAAAAAGCAGTTGCAATTGAATGATGTCAAAAACTGCGAAAATGATGAAAAATAATTGCAATATTTAAGTAAAAATTGCACTAAAATTGAACTGAGGGTTCAGACCAGTGTAATTCGTAAATTTTATGTCATTCAGTCTGAAAAACGGAAAAGTTCAGACGAGTTTTTTCAAAACTGAGACACCTGTTTTACGGATTTTTGGAATCCTAATCACGGATTTGGGAATCCGAAAGGGCTTTATTATGATGCCACACTTAACTACCAGCGAGCTTTATTTAAGGTAACAGAACTGGGCGAAAAAAAATACTCGCTAAGCCATAGTTCCTTCCTGTCACTTTGAGTGACGCGGTCGGAACAATAAGCAACTAAACTAGAATAGAACACAACCTCAAAGTAAACAAGTTCAAAAACACGTCTTCATTATTTTCCCATTGCATTTTTGGGGGAGTTTTATCCTACAGGTAAAAACTGTTTTGTCCTAACTTACGCATTGTTGTCGGTAAAAACTACACGAAAATGCTTGTTAGTCTGAACCAGGAGTACAACAACGGTTAGCTGTACAATTTAGGAGCTAGTATATGGGTCGTTTATTTTCCAAATGTTTAAAATTCTGTCGTGAACAGAAATTGATTTAATTAGAAAAACTGTTTTTATTAATTTACCTGGTGCAAATCGGCTTCTCGTGAACTCAGTATCAGCGCCTGTTTGTACGTCGAACGCGTTTTGAATCGCAGTTCCGTCTGATGTTTCAAGCCGGAAGAAAGTCTTGCGCCCCTTTTGGTAGCACTCGAACCCAAAACCCCCATCTACTGCACCATATGCATATACTTCGGAAAGATTCCACACGCCAAGTTTCTTAATCGGGGGTTTCATAGTTGTAAGGGCGAATTGAGTGGCCGTTAGACATAGGTTGGCAGTAATTCCACAGCCCATCTTTCTTTCCGAGGGTTTCATCTTCATCAAGAAGGGTTTGTTGGGGATCTTGACAATGAATTGTTCTTCTGGAAACGGAAAAAATACTAATGATAGCTGTCTGTACATACTCCCAAACTTATGTGAGTCAATTGGCGTAGTAAGAAACGACGATTCTTAGAAAACGATGGATTGTAAATAAAGTATATGGATCACTCTAATTTTTCCTCCCTCAAAAGACTCTGCTAGCAAAAAAAAATTACCCTAAAAACAGCATAATTGGCTTTTAAGACCATTTATCCACGGGGCAAAGGACCAACACAAGAGCTGTACAGCTCATCACGGCGAACCGCTGTTGTGTCCCTGTTTAAGAACTACATGCTTTTTTTTGGTTTATTTTTCTGGGCTGGGTAATGTTGCTTCACCCTCAAGCAACGAGCACGGATCATGGTGGGCCTCGAACATCCGACCTTTCGATTGAGAGGCGGAGACGTAACCACTTCACCTCCACTCCCCGCTTGAAATTTTGAACCTTTCAAAGAGCTGATCTGCCGACAGATGATGAATGAGAAACTTGGAAATGAATTTGGCCGAATTTGAATTACGAACCAAGGCATATTTATGCAAAACTGAGCCAATTTACAACAAGAACAGAACTTCAGATTCAAGAAAATCTAAATTCTTAATCTTTTGAATTCGAATCTTAGTTTTTATCACTAGTATTGCTAGTGTTATGTAACTTATGTAAAATCGGATGTTTGCGCTATCGGTTGTTTAACCTATTGGATGTGTATCTGCTCTAGCAGCCCTCTCCTCTCCTCTCCCCTCCCCCCCCCCCCCCATAGTATTTTAACTGGACCCACCTTCTCCGAACACTTGTCTGATCTTCAACTCCCAGTCCCTCATGGTGTATTTGGTAGTGAACCCAAGAGTGATAAGGTGTTTCATCAGAACTATCACCAGAGTATATTGGATCCCATCTATCTCCTGGCCAGTAAGGATGCCAACGTAGTTCTCCAATAGGAAACTCTTTTTCACTGTCTCCGTTGTGATTGGCTCTCCTTTCTTCTCGTGCTTCGGCTGTTTCTTGAAGTCCATCGTACACTTGTCTGAAACATTTTAACAACATTCTCTAAATATAGCTTGGTCAGAACATTTTTTCCAGCGATATATACTGCTTGGTGCGTTTAAAAATCTTAGATACAAAAAACTTAAGAGCGCTGGATGCAGCAGATGTCGGCATTTTTAAATTTTGTCAAACACACTCGGGCTCAAAATGCAGAAAACAAAGAAGAGTTTTTAAATAAAAAGAGTCGAAGGTGTTATTTGGGTTAAACAAAATTGGTTTGGCACAAAAAAACTCAACCTATTGGAAACAAAGCATTTTAAAATGCATCTCGACATAAATTCTTTTAACAGTTTTATTCATTTATCCACAAAGTGAACAGCAAGCAAAAAGCACACTACTAAGTACCAGTAAAAGTTTAAGGTCTGCAGAAATGCCGAGACATTTTGCGGAAATCGAAGCACATGGCAGCAATTCTGTATCAACTTTCAACAGCCATCATGCTCAAAAGAACTAATGTGGTACTTCTGGGAGTGGAAGTGGTTAACCGCTTTAAATTTTAAATTGGTTCAAATTTGAACAACCGCATGCTTTCACATATTGGTTTTGAAAAAAAAAATTGAACAAGACCTCGCTGAAACTAATCAATTCTTTTAAAATATGACGAATAATCGGGAACAATCCATTAATCACTAATCCGCTGTATGGCTGGAATTGTATGTCAAAAAATCTGAATATGAAACCTATTGAGTTTGTATCTTACCCCTGACCAAGTTAAGATCCTCCACCGAGAGTTTGAATTGGATTAAATTTGCTGGCCCTACGCAAAAATGCTTATATTCTGATTGGTTGAAAATTCCATCTCAAAACCAAGTTAACATCCTCCCACCTAAATTTAAATAATCGGACCAGGGGGTTCGGGATTGTACGGTTGATTCGGGGACCAAGTGAACAATCTCCCCACTAAATCAAATTAGGGAGGAGATAGTTCACTTGGTTAAAAGTAATATTTTTCAACCAATCAGATTTGAGCACAGCACATATATGCCGAACTGCTTGAATTTGCCATTCAATTTTAGGGGGGACAGATTGTTCACATGGGCCTGATTCGTTTTCAGTACTTGAAACGATACAGAATAAACTTTCGATTTAACAAAGACTCGGACTAAAAAAAACATTGCAGCCTTATAAGAACTTTCGAAACATTAAATTTTGCAAAATCTGAATAATCTGGTGTAAAATGCACCCGCTTATAATCCTTAGTCTTCAAAGGCATAGTCAACCTTATAAAATGAAGCACTAACGTAGCGAGGTTCCAATTAACATCAAAGAGGGTCCAATTTGGACCTGTGGTTTTTGGCGGCATACCATTTCAATTTGTGTAACTCCAGATCAGTAACTTCCTACTCAGTTAATCTATCTAACCTATGGGTCTCAGCTTGACCTATAGTGTGGAAAGCACCAAAGTGCTAGACCACCGAAAAAGCAACTCAACAAAAACGATAAGAAAGAAACGTTTCAAGCAAAACAACAACAAAAAATGATGGCTCAGTAGAAAAGCCTTGTGCACTTGCAGAGCGCAAAATGCTAGATAAAATCATTCTACATATACTTCGGCGTTCCAAACTATCGGTGGTTTGAGCTTGCACCCTTTTTATGGTGTGACGTAACCTTTCGCCTGAGCTGGTGACGTCAGCACGTGACGTAGTAAGAAGTACACGGCACTATCCGTCACTGCCGGATTTGAGCGATTAACCAAACACCCTTTAAGTCTGTTGAGCAAACATTATAATTATTCCTAGGGAATACTACCGGTATTATTAGCACACCACGCATTGCTAATACCACCCACCACTATTCAGTTCATATTTATGGTGTGAAATCAATGGAAATGTTTTATATAATATTGGGTTGGGTTCAACAAGCCGATTACTCCAGTAGCATGGGGGATAGATGAGGTGTGTCGTGTGTGGGGTGGATGGGGGTTGGGGTGGAGAATGCTTTTTAGAGCTTGAATTCATAAGTTTTAAAACAGTGTCTGGATTACACATTGTGATATTAAGTTGGTAATCTGAATTGGGATTTTAAGTGTCCAATTACCTTTTTCAACAATTGATATATGATTTTTAACCCCAATTGACACAAAAATAGTCCATTAATTATTCAGTTTGAAAAAACCATGTGCTTTGGCTCTTTTTAGAAATGATTAATACCAATATCTGATTAATGTGTCAAACTCGGTAGGAAACTTTAAAAAAATCAAGGAAGCAAATTTTGCATTGCCTGAAAATACCAGGGGCTTATTTCCGTTTGCGGGCTATTTTTATCGTTGAAGCAGGTGAATTCGGTTAGCTCTAATTACCAAATGCTTTTTTACTCTGCAATTGCAAAAGCATGACTAATTTTCCGAGAAGCCATTAACAGGATATAGCAATACGGTCTTTTTCTCTTGTAAAAGAAGATTAGTTAAATTATTGCAAAACTGCAAAAAAGTCTTTCTTTATATGGCGTTGTGACATATTCATTCTCTCATGATCCATGAATTCGTCAAATTCATCCAACTCTTTCTCCGAACGAAACGTTTTACTTAAACAAAAAGTGAATTTGCTTCTAACAAAAGAGCTGACTGAGCCTTTTCAACTTCAAAATCATTGAAAATTTCTTCAAGTTTGGTTTTAAATTAAAGGTGAGCGCTCATATGATTATAATTTTTGTGACTAGGGCATCTTAAGCATGCTTCGCCGGATTCAGGAAAAAAGGTTTTATTTGACTTAATAATTCCTCAAAAAAAAAAACGAACTAATTGAAGAAAAGTTAATAAAACAAACTCGCTATTTTAAAAAATTTTGCAGCAAGTGGCAGCAAAAAACTCATTTTGAACTAATTTTCTATTAATAAATGCAAAGAGTCAGAAAACAAACCCGCATTTTCATACTCAGTATTTCATTTAACCGTAACATTTACAAGAATTTTTCAAGTTTTCAGTTTTGCAATTTACAGCTTCTAGCCAACTCACCCACTTTGTCTACTAACTCCATTTTCAAAGTAATCTACTACCTCCATTTTCAAAGTAATAGTTAGTTAACAACAAACAAATATTTTTTCAACTTGAATCCGGGGCCTGATATCAAGTCCGATGAAAACATGAATTTTTCATGTGAAAAAAAATGATTTCACTTGGCTGAAAAATTCATTCTTCTGGCTCAGTAGTTTAGCCAGCAGATATTTCAATAAATTGCTCACGCATCCGGGACGCATACGTAAAAAACAGTGCTAGTCAAGGGCGAAGGAAAAACAAATTGGAAAACAAATCGACAAAACGACTCCAAATCATAGCACACGGTTTTCAACAACCAACGTCAAATCATATTGCGTTTTTGGGATTTTGACAACAAGTCTCCTGTAGTTCACAAGGATAGCCGGCAGCATGTTTTTTATTTTCAAAGTAGTGAAATTTTTTCTGCGTGGTGTGACAAAAGGATCTGAGTAAAACTATATTTTAGGCATATTCGACAGTCTTAGTAAAATAGGCAAACAGGAGAACAGTTTTGGAAGAAAAATGATTTCAAATTTTTTTTTAAATCGATTTTTTTTTCAAAATTTCGTTTTCAAATTTTTTTTTCTTCAGTTTTTTGAGTTTTTTGATTCGCAAAGTGGCATTAAAAATCTCCAAAAACTAATTTTACTCGAGTAAAATTAAATTCAGAATGAATAAGCTATTGTAAACGGCCTAAATTAAGCATAAAAAAGAGTGCTCGAATTTAGGCAAAAAATCAAAAATTTTAAACCTGTTTTTCTCGACACTGGGAAAACTTTTTCATAATTTAAAAACATAATTCGAATAACGAATAATTCGAATAACGAACTTTTTAAATAACATAATTCGAATAACGACTGAAAGGGTTCAAAAATTATATATCATTCAAATCTCTCCCATGATTATTTGCGGTAGCGTGGAAAACAAAAAAAGCAAAAAAACTAAAACACATCCGAATACAAGTTTCCTCGCCATTTTTCAAATGGTCAGAACAAAAAAAAAATGGTTAAAATTATTATTTTAGCAATTTTTAATAGAAATTTTCTGTTATTTTCTTTTTCTAGAAACGGCCATTGAATTGGAACAAGAGTGCAAAAAATATCGCTGACTATAGTTGAATAACGTTAAAATGTGGAGGTCAGTCTCTCATCAAATTTCGTGCAATTTTGTCTGAAACAGCAAGACTAGTTTTTTCGACAAATACAAACTGTTTGAATATTTTAAAACGCAAATCACGACCAAAAGGGCTTGAATATGAAACCACTTTTAACCCCCCGCGAGCTTTTCTCGAAGTAGTCAAAATTGGCTAAGAAACCGCCCAATCCAAATTTTTTACCACTCTTTGAAGTTAGAACAACAAGATCCCGTTTTCACATTGAAATGCAGCAAAAAAAAATGCTCAAACCCGCCGATTGTAGTTTTTGTTTTTTATGCACAGCAACGCCGATTGGCTGTGGTATCAGCAAAACTCTTCGAATTTTACGAACATTTTATGATAAACAGTTTTTGATAAAAACTATTCTCATTTGAGAAAACGGTATCCATAAAAAGTTTTTGGGGAGGGTAAATTAGAGAGCATCTTTCGCTATTTAGGAGCGTAAATTTCCTTCCGTTTAGCACACGAATTTGAATTTGTCTTTAGAAGAAATCGAAAGTCAAACCGCTAGAAATAAATAATTTTGTGCGTGAACAATTTTTCTGACTTTTTTGAAAAAAAAAACACACGATCCACAACGTTTTCTCTTCTTTCATTGACGCAATTCAAAATTTTCTGCACGAAATTGCTAGTTAAAAAATTTAATCTCATCGAGAAAAAAAAACAGCACAAATATTCCGTCCCTTTCTTCGAAAGTCGGAGCGATATAATAAAACAAGAAAAACTGAAAAAATTCAGGGAACATTTCAGGCTCACAAAAAAATTTAATGAACTAGGACAAATTCCAAGAAAAAAATCGCGAAGAAAAAATTTCAATAACAGTTTTATTGCACAAAATCTCCGAAGTAAG